CACTGCTGGTGAGAAGTTTCTTCTACAGTAGCACTGGTTGTAAACCCTTCAAGTGTAACCAAGAGACACAGTTAGGCCCATAAATATTTGGACAGCTTTAGCCTCGTCACATCATTAAGGTTTTAAAAACTAAAACTGAAAAAATAAACAAATAAATAAATAGCCAACAATGTAGTTCAAATATAAAGACTAAGGTTTTGGGGGGACAAGACTGGATGTCTGACACTGAGAATCATCTGCCTTTGACAGTCTGCATTATAATACCTGTAACTAATTTTCCTAAATCTTGGGAAATAAAATACTAACAGTGAAACTAACAAAAGCTAAACATTTTTAAACCATAGAAAAACTTAACCAAACTCCCCAGTCTGGAAACCAACTGAAACTAAAAACCAATGAGAAGGAAAGAAGAAGAATAATAAATAAAGCACTAAGGATGTGAGCAAAGTGCACACTTTTAGCTTAAATTCAAGAGTTTGACAAAGATAATGCATTCATGTTTGATGCCATTTTGGATGATTCACTTCCATCCATACAAACATTTTTTTTTATGCACAATTTAGGAGTAAAAATAAAAATTGTTCAAATACTTCAGGTCCTAACAGTAGACCATAACTGATAGAAATACTAAAACTGTGAATTCAGGAAGATTTGTAGTCAAAAGGATGTATGTGACAAATTTCTGATTTTACAGCGAGCTTAATAGTATACGTGCAATAGCAGTAAATGACAACATACAAATAGCTTTATGAAGTCACTACCAGACAAAAGCAGAAACCCTTTTAATTTGACTGAGATGGTAACGCTGACGACATTACAGCATTTAGCTGCCGACAGACATTGAGCGGTAATTTGTTATTCAAAGTGAGAGCCAATTGAACTTTGGACTGAAGGTGACAACCATCTTGATATGAAGCAAACCGACACCTACTGCTAGCCAGAGTGATCATTTCAGAAACAAAGGTACATGTGCAAAAACAAAAGGCAACTCATCACTGCTCAGAGGGCCCCAAAAAAAAAAAAAATCAGCTGTCACACAATGACACAGCTCACCCAGCAACACAGACCAGAAACTTAATGAGGAGTTGTTAAAGAGGAACTGTGTGAAGGCAAATACGATGATAATCCCTCATAGCAAACACATCGAGCATGTTCCATCATCTCTGTTGAGCCTCACTTACTTTGCAGTATGCTTCCCTCTAATTTAGATATTAAAGTGTGTCATAAAAGTTTTTAAAAAGGCATTGCCCTTACTGTTAGTGCTAACACCTTTCATTGAAGGTTAAATTTTATTTCCATTTATTTACATATGGTTAACTAAGATAAAGAGCTTGTCAGCTGGAAGATGATTAGCATAGCGGAAGTGACTCATGCGTCAAGATCCGCATTTCTGACTGCGTTTGATGTTAAAAGCACTGCCCCGACCACCGCTTCCTGTAGTTACTCAATTTAAAAGACAATTTAGTTCTTGTGTTATCGTCTTCAAATGGTGCACTGCAGTGCTCTTTCACTGCCATTTTAATCATGTTCTTTTACTTTTAAGCTGTTCTTTTCATCACTGGTATCATGTGTCGCTACACTTCAGCAGCATCATTACCTCTTAAAATGCCTCAGGAAGATTCCGATATTCATACTTCTTTTGGAGTCGAGAATTGTGACCTAAAGACAACAACGTCACACACAAATGTAAAAACAAAATACATATTCAGATAAGAGGAAAAGTGGATAATCTATACAAGGCAAAATAGTTTTGGAGGAAGCTGAAATGCTTTCAGAACAGTTTCACTTCTGCCCTCAGGACTTGATTAGCTGGAACTTTTCTAAAATTACTTCCCATGTCTGTTAATCACTTCCCTTGCTTGTTCCTTCTGTGTTTTGTGGCCATAATAATTTAGAGCATCTGCATCAGGTACAATGAACCCTTTACCTGAGGCTCCTGTGGAAGGTGATCCGTGCCATCACATTTCTTCAGGTTTGTTGAAGTGCACAGTGAGGCCCGTTTGTCTACGTGACTGAACAATTCCTCCATGCTCCGAATATCAAGCACCAGGTCCCTCTGGGGCCGACTAGATGTCCACACATTCAGTTTGCCCAGGACACGCTGGCTGGGAATAGTATCCCAGTTCAGCTTTTTCATGGAACGTCTCTGAATGTTGCGAGACCCGAAAGAAGAGGAATGGACAGGTGGGGGAGGTGGCGGTGGGGGTGGTGGGGGAGGCGGAGGGGGTACTGGAGATACAGTTGTAACATGCATGGCAGGAGGCACAGAAGGCGCTGACAGAGGAAGAGAAGACGAGTCTGGAGGTGAACAGTTGGGAAGAGAAGCCGATTTAAAAATCAGCACTCCCTCCATCTGTTTGTCTCTAATCCAGAGATGATGGAAGTGTCCAGCAGCAGACAACTCAGACCTGATGGAAAATATAATTCCATATATGAGAGAGAGAGGGTCAATTGGTGAGTCAGCAAAATATCAAAGAAATTCTATCCAATTAACCTTTGCTTCATGTATAAAATATTGTCCTTAATTATCCAACTAACTCACTAACAAACAACACCAAATATCAGTAGGCAAAAGCGGAGTATTTCTCATTTAAAAGAAAGAAAAAAGCGGAAGATGTAACAGATCTAACGGCAATTAACTATAATGCTTACCTGGTAGTGGCATAAGGTCATTCAGCCGTCGAATATAAAAGTTGTCACAAGCGAAAAGCCACTCTGACAATTTCCAGAGTCGCACTTGGCAACTAAGCGACCAAAGTAAGCTGCCAACAGCTTGCCGTTAACACGTCAGACTAACTCTTCGTCACAAAAGGCAGCTTGATGAAAGAGAGAGGCACTGTAACGGGACACTACATTATGTGAAAAACAAACAAAAGAAATCATTAATTTAACTCACCTTTTGCTTTTAAAACGTCGCTGTTAAACAAATCCTCTGACGTGATCCTGCCGCGTGCTCGGACATACTCAGCAGTGTGTATCACGAACAGCTGTCCCAGGTGCAGGTGTTTCCACCAATTAAAATTCAACTCATTTTCCCCCCACAGTAGGGAACGCCCTTCTGTGGAGAGGCGAGAGAAGATGGGTAGCCTAATTGCTTCAAACGCCAAGAAGAACTGTATTAAAACAGGTTAAGTGCATTTATTAAACATGTTTTTTTTCCATTAGGTATTACGTAGGTGGTCAGGAGAAAACAGCTGCTTGTTAATGCTTTTACAAACCAACCAATGTTAGATAACCAAATCACCACCATCAAAGCTAATTCAAAAAATACATTAATGATGTTGAATTCAATGAAAGTCGCAGTTAACTTATTTATGGACGTACATGTTTATAAGCCATCCCTTTCATTTTTACTCACCGTGATTTTTTATTTTATTTTTTTTTAAATACTTTGTTTTAAAATCGTCACTCCGTTTTGACCTCGTTCCTTTGCTGAACGCAGGCAGTCTGACAAACAGCAGTCACAGGTGCGGGAAGCTCCTCCACCAATCAAATACAAGCCGATTTCCATGTGGGAACGCCCACTGTGAATAGGTAAAGGAGATTGGTAGGAGTTGGTGATCAACAAGGCCAGACTATTTCTAACAGTAAGGTTAATTGAAGGATGTGTTTGTTATATACATTGAAATCATGAATGATATACAGTACTGTTCAAATGTCTTGAGCCACCCCTTATTTCTTTATATTTTACTTCTAAGGAGCCAGACTTTCTTCAGATGTTTTAAAAGGAACTTGACAAAACGTTTTCCAGACTTTCTGAAGGTTTTTCAAAGTTTTGTTTTAGACATTGGCTGCTTTTTCATTCATATTCAGTCCAGTTCTTATTAAGCCACTTAACACTGACCTCTATCATTCAAGCATTAAAAAGGGACCAAACCAAGGGATAACGTTGTCTACACCACAGATGTCAACCCACTTTGATCTTATGTGGGCTGGATGAGTGAAATCCCCCTTTCTGTAAGTATACATAATTTTAACTAACCATCTAATCAATCAATACTATAAGAAAAATAAGCACAATTCAGACAGAATGTCTGACTTTTTCGACATGATAAAAAAAAAAAATGATACTGTAGTAACGAGTCTGTCAGCTTGACTCTTTTGGCTTAAATTGGAAATGTGTAAAACATCACTTAATGACTTTGGTGTAGTATGAACAGTCATGGTCTTTATCAGTAGGAAAAACAGTAGAACTTGTAACAGTTAAAAGTCCTCTTTCACATTTTCCAAAATCATCTAAATTGGAGCATTTGCTGGGCCCATTCTAGCCAAGCCTTAACAGAACACTTGGCAAATAATGATTTTTAAAATGTACTCTGTACACTTTACTAGCAGTTGGTCACAAAAGCACATTTATTCTGTTCTTTAGACGAATCTACAAAAAAAACACCAAAATTAACAGTTTTACACATAAAACTGGGACTAAAAAAACCATTAAGAGTTATGAACCAAAAACTTGACCTATATCATGGTGTGCAGTGTGTTCTTTAAAAAAAAAGAAAAAAGAAGCAAACAAGTGTCATCTCTTTTAAAAAAAAAAGATTATATATTATGTATAAAAAAATAATAATTCAAGCTCAGGTCCTCTACCAGAAGCCTGGGAGCTTCAGGGTCCTGTGCAACATCCCACAGGAGCTGCAAGATACATCTGGCCCTTTAGTGCCCTCTGCCAAAGCCTCATCAGAAATGGTGTCAGTGGAAGGGTGCCTGTAATTCTTTGGGTAACTTTCAATAATTTGCTGTAACCATCTCCACATTTCTATCAAAATATAGAGAAATGATAGGTGGATCAAGACTTGCACAGTAGTTTAGGTAACTCTGAGAAAGAATCCAACTGTAGAGCAATTTCAACAAATGATGGTTAAGGTACTTCCTGAATACCTGGTTATTAAAGTTTATTCAGCCGATTCCAGAGTTACTTCTTCATCTACTTTCAGGAAGTAAACAAATGCACACACACTCTTAGTGCAACACAAAACAGAATAAAATGAAGACAAAGCTTTTGAAAATGTGTACTTTTAATTTCAGTTCCCTTGGGGTGGGGTAGGACTGTTCAGGTGTGAGTGAGGAATGAAGGCAAAATATCACATCAATCCATGACACCACTTCATTTATCATCATAAATATTTTGTCTGCAATCATCCATACAGTACAATACACCAGCTCAGCCTAGAAAACATTGATTGTACACAAATAAAACATCTCGTTTTATAAATCTTGATCTTTCTCGACAACAATCTAGAAGACTAGCGAGGCTGCTAGTAAAAGTTACTTCAAATGTTTTCCACTTTTCACACAGTTGGTGTTTTTTTCCCCCAAACTTAGGGGAGGATTTACCACAGTGAAACAAAACCAAATCCTATTGCCATTCAGTCTGGTGTAAGGGTTAGGAATATCAAAAGGACAGCTTTTGGAAAAGAGGAGTCACATCTTGTTAATATTGCTTCGTGATGGTCAAACAGACCAGCAGCTGGCCAGTGAAACTGCAGTTTTAGCCACGAGAAAGGCCAGGGTCATGCTGAACGACTTCTTTAGCCAAAACTCATAAAATTCAGGGGGAAAAAAACAAAAAAACTGAAGCCAAACAAACTTTAAAATTTCGCCATTTGCTTTTCTAAGCTGTCTTTACGAGTACACATTTAAAGTGAAATGTTGTGGATTTTGCTTCAGTCGTTTCCAAAATTGAAATCAACAGACGTAGTCCATGCGAGCTAGCGCGCAGAAGGCAAAGAGCACAACATCAGTGAGAGCGCACATATCTGCACCTATACTCTGCTGTCTGTCATGCAAATGCAGGGACAAGAAGCTAGAGAAGTCACCCATTAACTGATGGAGGTTTCGTGGAGCACTCCCATCTGTCACTAGTGGCTACCATGAGTTAAATGCAGCATGGTTAAACATTCACTACATTAGGTTCTCCCTTCAAGTTGACAGAGGTTTGCCACGTCACTTTCTAAATTTAGAGGTTGTTTTGAGTAGCTCAATTACAGATTTGGTTTGGTAAAGGAATTCATTTCAGCATGTCGTCTGCAAAATGTCTTAAACTGGATAATTTTGTGTACAACACGTTGAATTCAAAATATAATAAACGTGATACAGTGATGATTAAAAGTTCAACATGTGCTATATTTTAATTGTCAACGACTGATGATTGTTTACTACTATAACAATGTTTACATTAAGAAAACACAGATGGATCATTAGTGTTATTACATCCAACCCCAACCACTAATCACAAGAGGTTTAAATATTAGTATGAGTTATATCAGACAGCTACAGTAATCTTCAGTATGAAGAAAGGTAACTATAGACGAATGTGTTCTGCTTCAGGAGGACTGAATGATATGACCCAATAACATGCCCTTGTTAACGTTAAAAAGATAAAATAAAAATCAAAAATGCACATATTAATGTACCATGTGCAAATGTAAAAGAGAGTGAAATTTATTATTTCCGGTTAAGTGAATCCAGTCAAGTTTGCTTGAAATACCCATCTCTCACAGGGATGCTCCAGGCTTAACCAATGTAAACATATTAAGTCCTGTCATTCAACAAACAGACCTCTCTCTTCTCTTTGGGAAAATAAAATAAAATTAGTAAAGACTTGAACCAGTATGACTTTGGAAAGCTGTGGAATCGTCAACGATTGTTGCATATAAGATTCAAAGTCAAAGGATTTTCATGTTATGAGTAAAAATTACAGACCGAGCACTGCGGTGCTTGTAATCCAGAAGACCAGCACATATTGTCCCAAACAGCAGACCTTCCTTCACTTTAAACACGAGACATACAGTACAGCTGAACAGATGGAAAATAATTAAGAAAAAAAAGGAGATCAGATGCCAAATTAACCAAATGGCTAAACACAACATTGTGGGTTTTTTTTTTTTTTAATGTGCTACAAACAATCACGTATGTATTTGAAAAATAAAACAGTACTTAAATTTGAAATGTACATTGATTTGATAGTTTGAAGATTCCAGTGAACAGTGTAAAAACCCTTTCATGTGTGGATGGAAATCCTTTTTTATGAACTTGTCTTTCTTCCTTCAGGCCATGCTTTCTTTTAACTGATCAGCTCATATATAAGGAGGCACACTAGGAGAGAGATAAGGTCTGGGAGTTTTGAAGTGATGTTTACTGATATCTCAGTGTGTGTGTGTGTGTGTGTGTGTGTGTGTGTGTGTGTGTGTCTGGTTTAAGTTAAGAACTGGGAGCACTTGAGGAATACAATGATGGCCATAAACATGACTAACAAGTTCACACAGCAAAAAAGTGTTGAGATAGATTGGGATTGAGTCAAGTATAAGAGAGGGAAGGGAACGGTTAAAGGATTTTCAGGGAACAAAGCACAAAGAGAGGTTAAAGTGAAAAAAAGGAAATTGGGAAAAGAGGCACTAAAAGCCCTCTGACTCTTCATGAAACTGGCCACTTGGTTTCCTGCTGCACTTAGCTCATTCACGACTAATACCCTGTTATTCATCCGTCCAAACATCCTGCCATGCATTCATCTTGAATCTTCATCCAACCAGTTATTTCTTTGTTTCTCTCTGTAGTGGTCCTCTGTTAAATTGGGGGTTTCAACAGGTAACAGGTGGAGTTGTTGGCTGAGAAGGAAGCTACAGGAGGTCCAGCGAGGGCCTCTCATTGCTCTTCTAACCAGGAGGGCTTGTCAGCCCCTGGGGGCTTCAACTTTACATTGAACTGCTTCAGCGTTTGCTCAAGCTGCTGCTGGTTGCCAGCAAAGTATGCTGATATGGCATTATGGAAGAGAAGGAGCTGCTTATGCATCACCTTCACCTGAAAGACACCAGAGAGTTAGGGATTTAGTCTGTGCACATCATGAATGACAGAACTTAAATTAAACCTGGATAAAGGTGTTTTTTTCATTCATAGTGACCTAATTATGCTTCTAACCTTATTCTCCTCCAGAAACTTGAGCTTAATGGCAACATCTGAGCGAAGACGTTCGTACTTGTCCTTTTGGACTTGGTACTGTTGCTGAGCAGCTTCTATACGGGCCATGGCTACAGCATCTCTTGGACCCATACTCAGTTCCTCAAGGTCTGACCGGTAGGCATCATACTCTAGTCTAAAAGTACACAAAAGGAGAGGAGATGATACAGTGCAACAATCTTGACAAAATAATGCTTTGTTTTAAAATTTCATCATAAATAAAATTAAAATAGAAGTTTTTAGCGAGGTCCTTGGAGATAAAGGATCAAACAAAATAACAGTTTCTCTTTCAGAGCTACAAATCAAAAAAGTTATTTCTCTCATCTGTCAATTTCATATATAATATGCCAACTCTGCCCTTTAGCTGGTCATTCAGAAATATTTCCTAATGATTCGAATGATCTATTGACTCAAAGGTCTAACTGTTGGTCTGGTCACAGCTAATGGGCGATTTTGACACAACCATTAAATTAAGAGTTGCTGAGGGATGAGGTTTATTCAACCAGCCAACATGCAGTTTGCATCCAATCTTGCTTAAACCAATTGTGTATTTCTTCACATTAATAAATGTAATAATTTATCTAGTTGAAAATATTACTGTTTACATTATATATTAAATAAAAGTTTAGATATTTTATATTAAACTATTTTAACAGATCATATTGGCCACTGGAGGGCAGTAGAAGCACACCGAATGCATCATTACTGACATTATTGCCATCTTTTAAGTGGATATAGTAAATTTGTTAGCAAGCAGCTTCCGATTTACGCAAAGAGCAGGTATGAAACACAATTATCCATTTAGAATAATGCTAAGGCCCCTGATTTAATTATGTACTCCATGTACTAACCTTGCATTTTCATACATCTTGATAGTCATCAGGGTGTCCTCCATGGTCTTGTTGACTAACGTATTGATGCTGGACACAAAAAAGTTAATGGCACCAAGTAAAGTCTCTCCGTTCTTACACAGCAACTTCTGAGTCTCTGCATTGTAACCGAATTCATCCTGTAAGCAACAAAAAAAGAAGTTTTTAAATGGCTAAAATAAACCTAATAATCATACTGGCATCAGTGTGGCTCACCAACAAAGCCACAAACAGTTAAAATACAAAGTGACATCTCACCCGAAGCTCGGGAGATTTCTGACTGAGGTCAGCAAAAGTGTCGCCAAGCGCATGCTGTGTCTGCACCATGTTGTAGAAATGGTTGGTCAGAGCTCTGGCCAGTCGTAGCACATTCTCGTATTTCCGTTTAGTGTCTCTCAGCACCTCAATCTGAGCCTCCAGCTCCAGGTCCACGGTCCGGGAACCCCGACCGAAACGCTCTGAGATCATTTGCTTTGTACACTATGACACGGTAGGAAGGAACAAAGAGACATTAGTTACACAAAAATAAATTTAAATTTGAAAAATTACCATTTTACAATAACGCTATTCGCTAATCACAGTTTTACTCAGTCAATATAACAAAATCTCAGATACCTTGTAAGTATTCAGACCCCATTTCTTCACTGTTTCTAGCTTTTCCACAGCCACACCGCGGGTCGTTTCCTCTGCCGTCATTGATGAGCTGCTGCTGCTGTGGTGCATGTTGGAACCTGAGGTGGAACACCCAAATATAGTAACACAAACACATGAACACAAGCAAAACCTTCTTGGACAGCAAAATTACCCCATACAAAATCAGATGAAACTGAATTTTTTAACCACTGAAAGTGTCCAGGATCTAAGAAAGTTTAGACTGAGGATTGTTTAACATCTGTTATTCTGTAAGCCACGGCCAACCCTTAAACATAAATCAGAGAGCGTTAATGAGTGACTACAGAGCAGGAAAATACTAAAACTAAACTGGATAGAAATACTGGCAGAACAGAAAAACAAGATTTTTTTGGAAGACACCAAATCCTTTTTATGAAGCTGATTAAAGAAATACTGCAATATTCACACTGTTATATTGGCAATTAATTAATCAACGTAGAGGCTGCGAACATCATTTTTCCCTCCTCAGTACCTTGATTGGACAGATGGCAGGACTGCTACTTTGCCTGGCCTTCATACGCAGCTCTATGACATTAAATGGGTGTTTGGACGACAGAATGATTTTCAGTGAGCATTCATTATGGTAAGGAGTGGGAGTGGAATTTACATGTTTTTACTAATTAAGGGAATATTTTGGGTAATTTGATATTTATGTTTTAAACAGTCGTTAACAGTTGAAAAATGTCAAAAGTAGAATAATAACAAGGTACGAGGAAGATGTGGGAAAATGCAGGGAGATGCAAACAAGACCACAAGATAAACAAAGGGAGAAAGGGATAAGAATCATGCATGTAGGAGGGAATTGCAAAAAGAAGGTGGAGCACAAAAATAGAAAAGTACAAAGATGAAAAGGCAACATTAAGTACATGACAGTCAGTGAACAATGCAGAGAAATGAGCAATGATCACCAGAGTTTGAATTGCAGTCACACTAACTGCTAGGATACTGTGTGTGGAGCGGACTGGTTAAAGCTTTTACTAAATAACAGCAGATGGGAAAAACTAACAGAATGTAAAATGTAAAAAGCTCAAGCCAAGGGAGCTCACTCTCAGGGCAGTATTTACTTTCATGGGAATAGGGTTGTAGTTTGTGTATATTCATTTTGTTTTCTTTGGTCTTTTAAAACATACTTTAAGATGTTCATAGTACAGTAAGATTCATATTAGTGTAGCATGACAGATGTTTGCATGGATTATGGTAAATGGTAAATGGCCTGTATTTATATAGCGCTTTACTAGTCCCTAAGGACCCCAAAGCGCTTTACATATCCAGTCATTCACCCATTCACAAACACATTCACACACTGGTGATGGCAAGCTACATTGTAGCCACAGCCACCCTGGGGCGCACTGACAGAGGCAAGGCTGCCGGACACTGGCGCCACCAGGCCCTCTGACCACCACCAGTAGGCAACGGGTGAAGTGTCTTGCCCAAGGACACAACGACCGAGACTGTCCAAGCCGGGGCTCGAACCGGCAACCTTCCGATTACAAGGCGAACTCCCAACTCTTGAGCCACAATCGCCCACACACATCAGTATAATTTCCTAAACATTCCCAATATAAACAGATTAGGATAACACATTTTAAGAAAGTTTTACCTTATTTGACCTTAGAGAAGAGGTCAGAAGTCTATAGTACCGTGACACTTACAATCCCCATATATCATTCACTATATGTTTAAAGGCAAATAATGGAAGTAAGAAAAATAATTTTAATACGTATTATTATATTATTATCACTTCAGATCAATCTTTTGACCTTGAAGGAAAGGTCAGAGGTCAAATGTGACACGTTACTTAGTGTTGACAATACACAAGATACTTGTAAGAATAATAGTTTCTAAATTATAACTTGGTTTGATCAATAAATTATTAAGACGACCTTGTAGACCTTGATGGATGCAAGTCAAATTTTATTGTATTATTAACACGACCCCCTCTACACCCACGCAGAGTTTTATCAGAATTCATTTAAAACTTTTCAAGCTACTTGGACAAAGAATGGCATACACACTACAAAAAAAAAAAAACCTCCTTGAGTGAGTTAATAAGCATGAAGATGGATTTGGTTCAGTGGGTGCACACCCACACCTTACAAGAGAAACCAACCCAAAACCTACAAATGAGAAAGAAATACTGTTATAGAAAAAGCCACAAGGTGTCTACAAAAAGAGCAGCAGGCAGAGGTAAGTGCAATGCCCTTGTTTCCACTGAAAAAGAGGAAAAACTGGTGAAAAAGGGCAGACAAGTCATTTCCCAGTCACCTAAAAAAAGAAAGAAAAGGACACTCTACACAGAGCATATTTCCAAAATGAGCTAGCCACACTCTGAGAACAAACAAAGACAGAAAGAAATCAAAACGCACTTTTAATGCACTTGAGATCTTCTTTAATCACCTTACTTTACCCTAACTAAGAAATAGTATTTTGGAAATAAGCTCTCTATTATTAACAACAATAAGGTTAAGGCACCTAATCCTGTAACTGGGATCCTTTTGTTAAACTCAGCATTGTAGTGCACAGCAGGGCCTGTGAGAGAGGGAGGGATAAAGAATTATTTTATTAAACAAAGTTTTAACTATTTCCATCTAAAACTTTCTTTACATGCACCATCATTTGAAACAACAACAACCTCTGCTCCTCTTATTGCAAAACAAATTCTTAAAAATCTTTTTAAGGTTGATGAAACGACAGATAAGCCAGCTTCAGTAATATCTATGATCACCATTATCAGATACATAAAAACAACATCATCATGGATTAAGTCATTTCTTTTAATGGTTCTTTAGTTGCCAAAGGAACAAAAAAAAAAAAAATACTATTTTCACAAAAGTACAAACATTGTGGCTATTGCACGGCCTTGGTGATATTTGCGTTTCAGTGTAGAGGCCCGAGTTTTCATGCTGAAGCCCTCTGCACCATCACCTTACCGCTTAAAAAACATTAATAAATCATGGACTGCTTTTTCCCCCCTCCTCAGCCATATGTGATGGTAAATGACTCTTGCTATCAAGGCTACCGTTTGTTTTCAAACAGGTTTAGCTGCATTTTAAGAACACGTTTTACGATGCACAGCACTTCCAGTAGAAGCATCACCGTATGGAAAAATGTGCTTTCATAAAATCAGTAATAGAAATGCACAGCTACACCACCCAAACCCTGTTATCAGTGTTGCAGACTGCAACCAGCCCATCAGTGAATAATGACATTTACTGATGGCGGTCGCCAGTGTTTGTCATTTGGGTGCCATCAGTTGTGTGCTGGTAAAATGTTATTTAACTATAATGAATCTTTCTTTGTTTTGCTGGCACAAAAAGAGGTGATACAAAGCAAAAAGACAACAGTAAGTAACAACAGGCACTACCTTTTAAAGCACAGTCAGTAGGTAATAATACATTAATTGCAGCATGATCTTGTGGGTAGTCAGAGACAGTACAGAGCCTGAAAAAAACATCACAAATGAGTAATGGGAACAAAGGGTGAAGCAGCACTACCTTTGATTGAACTGGTGGGGATAATGCCCTCTGCTGTTCCTCCATAGCCCCCAGATACAATGCTAGTCTCGTTGAGATTGGGACCCGATACCATCACCTGCTGCAGGTCCTGCAAAATGTAATGTTAAAAAAAAAAAAAGAAAAAAGAAAAAGGATGGGCGGGATAAAAAGATGGGTTGGGGAAGGAATATACAGAAAGGAGATTGTGACTTGAGAGCCAAATTAAGATAACATAGGCTAAAGCCTCAGTCAAAAGGTTATCCACTGACAGTGAGACAAACACCACGTGAGGAATGTTAGGAAGCAAAATGGAAAAACTGTATGAAAGTGTTAAAAAAAACCCAGAAAACACATGACTAACATGTCCGTCAATAATTAATCCAAGTGATCTGAATCTCCTGCAAACTTGAACTTCTATACACAGCTGTAATAAACTCAGAGTTTAATCCAGACAGTGACTTCAGTGATCTATGGAAAAGCACAAATAAGTAATTTTCTACTTATAATCGCCATCAGAGGCTTCTTTGAAGTTTTGGCTCACGAGCAGAGTTGGGTTATGAGCCACTCTCTCCCTCGGGTTTTGTTTAAGCTGCGGTTCTCTTTTGTTTGACTTCCTGCTGAAGTATCAGCAATTTAAAAAATATGTAGGATTATAAGGAAGGAAAATTGAGGGAAAAAAAGGAGCCTAAGAACTTAAAAAAAGACTGAAAATGTGTTCATGTCTGCAGGAAAGCCTCTTTTTCATACATCAAGTAATTTAACTATGAGTTAAATCATCTAAAAACTTAAAGGATGTAACAAATGGACATCTGATAAGTTGCTAAACATTTGCCTCATTTAGTTTAGATAAACAGAGTTACTTAATGGAAGTCTGTTTTTTCTGTTATTTCTGACCATTAAAAAGAAAAAAAAAAGAACAAAGGAGCCCACATTTTCAAATGCTCATGCTTAGACTACACAGTATGTGATAAGGAAATTACAGAATAACGCCCTGCAAGGGAAATGGCTATTTCCGCTTTGTAAACAAACACATAACATATGCGATACAACCTTAGAGTCAGAAAAAAAAATTACAACTGCTTTGATTTGACCCATCTTTAATGTCCTGAAAGCTTTGCTTCAGGGCATTATCTGGTTTTTAAGACTCATCTTGTAATCAGACCTGCAGAATTAAATATTTCTTTTTTTTTTAATAAACACTGACTTACACATCAAAACAAGTAAAGCAAAATCACATCAACAACACAGCATTAGTATGACAATAAAGACCATTAGTATAAAACAGAACAATCTTGTTTTGTTAACCATCACCCACTAAAAATTTAGGCATCTCACACACTCACACACACACTATCTGGGCTACCTTAGGCAACCGAAAACGACACACACTAGACATCTTTGCATCTAATAATCAAATGGAGCATAACATCTCAAATTGACGGATATCCCACGAAACATGTCAGTCATTGGAGACTCTTTCTAGCTACAGTTAGTAGGAGTAAGTTTACCAGGCAAGCTGCACAGTGGTTTGAATTAAAGATCAAATATCTGACATTTTGTGAAACAAACCAGTGCAGCGATGCAAGGCAATTTAATTCCCCTTGAAGTCAAACCACTGAGCAGTACTACACACCATACTACAACATACACGCAAATGCACAAATGGCCTGCTCACCCTGGTGCCTCTGGAGCTCCCTACCTTCTCATCTAAGCTCCACTGCAGCTTTGCAGCCTGCACAGAGATGGAGGAGGGGGAGTGGGGGTGGGGGGGTTGGGTTGACAAACACAACAAGAACAACAACAGAAAAAGAAACAAACAGAAAAGGAGACAAAAGGGAAAAAATCCATGACTGAAATATGAAACAAGATAGGAGGATGCAAACGAAATCTCAGAAAAACCATTGCAATGTCCACAGACAGCAGTGATGCAGGATGGAGAGCAGTGATGACTTATATCACAGCTTGTCAGGTTGCATCATTAGACTAGATTATGTGATAATTTCAAGAGTCTAGTCTACATGGTGAACATGTTTGCATTCGATCTCCAATGTGATGCCATAGGTGCTTATAATATTAACTGTCACTGTCTGGAAAAAAGAAAATACAGACTCTAACACAACACTGTAAAAATTAAGCTATACAAGACGTGGACATTAAAAGTGACAACATTAAGAAGGGAGGGGAAAAATATTAAAAGGGACTGAATGTAGACACAAAAATAAATCCATACAAGCAAAGTTTTAGTGCCCCAACTCCAGATTTCACAACTCTGACAAGTGGAAAAAAATTCCCCAACAATACTTTAACTGAAACAAACGTGCCAAAATAATGTGTCACCTTCAAGCCAAACAGAGTTCAATATAATAATAGTTGCCAGTCTAGACCATCCCGCAAAGGCCGACCAATTGGTTTAGCCAACCTGTGTTAGTAGTTCATAAAACCTCTTATCTTTAATAAGCATAACAGTGATCAGTGGCCACATAGCCTCAACCGTCTAGTCAAGGCAATGTCCCGTTTTCTATGGAAACATCTGCTTTACCTCTGGCCCAAACTGGAAAAAGATGCCAGGCAGGTAAAGAGCACCTGTAGCTCCACGTGGCTGCTTGAATTAGCAGGACTTCCTATATTCTGAACACCATTTAAAAACTGAACACAATTTGAATTTGACTTGACAGGTAAAGTCAACATTTTCTTGTTTTTCTACTGTTCTAAACAAAATTTTTAATGGCTTAAAAAAAACCAAAAAAAAAAACCCAACAACATACAATTAAATACAAAGACCTTTAAAAAAAAAAGGGGGGGGGGCATTATATCTACGCAAATACATTTTAACCAAAAGTCTGTTTTAGCTATGCTTTATCATCATTCAGTCATTGTAACTCCTCCTTACAGCTCTGCCTTGTGTTATGACATCTGTTTAATGTGGGAGAAAGCTGACGCAAACACAGATCCCTCCCTCAACACTTTGTTTGTACAGGTTCAATTCCTTTGCAGCCAAACTACCACAAGTCAAGCCAAAGCATGAAAAGATATAACTTTACAACTACCCATGGGATATTTATATAAATAAAGATTTATTTGCACATTTTTTTTTCTCTTTCTTTTCTAAAATAATTGGTTTCTGTGCATTTGTTTTACACGTGCATTAAATTAAAGTCTATTACATCGATTAAGCATCATAAGGCGGAGGGTGGGGGGTGATTTTTTTTTTTTTTTCTAGGTTGTTTAATATTTCCACTAAATACTGTTTAGAATGCCAGAATAGGGAGGTGACGTAGGTTTAAGTTTATTTGCACAAGTAACCACCTGTGAGAAACTGTGTATGATGGTACAAGCATCTTAAAATGCTGTTATCTGAAGAGACACCAGAGAGCCTTTGCTGCCAAGACGTTGTTGGCAGTCAGTGATGTCTCTGTCACGTCAAGCTGCCAGTCACCATCCTTTTTCTGTCATGCACATGATGTTGCAACATCTGAAACTGGACCTGCTTTTTCTTTACCTGCCAGTCTTCATCCCATGTGAGAAATAACAGACTTGTGCAGCTTTAAATCAAGTGCTGCGCAGCAGATATCAATCTGATTTCACAGGGCTTTCAACCAAGGACAAAGCATCGCCAGTTTCAGATTAATTGCAGAGTTGCTATGACAACTGGTTAATATCCAATACAAAACAGTGCAGCCGAACACTTCTCATACATAAACATATTAAACTGAGGTAGTCACACCAAATGGTTGAACACACGCAACACACTGTAAGCTTTCCGAGAAGGAAGGTTGTTCTTTTACTACGTGTGAGCTGAGCACATAGTTTGGTAAGCAAATACCCTAATGCAGTTCCCTGCCAGTGTTTCCGGCAGGATCTTCAGTCTGTTTGCCCAACAAGGTGTGCCTTGAGATGGAAGACAGCTAACAAACTGTTCCCAATATCTCTCAGAGAATCCACTACTACTTTACTTAATCCAAATCTCATATTGTCTTGTCCATTTAAAGTGTTTTCCCCTCCCCCATTCTGAAGCCGTTCTCACCTGGGGAAAAATGCGTGAGAATCCAACACTTGAGATCAATATAGACATATATTGCATCAGAGATTGATTGATTGATATATATTTATATATATATCCCTTCATATGTTAGTGGGAACAGCTGTTCTCAGGGAAACAGCTGGTCTCCAACACCTGATTTCCCCATGGAAGCTCTTTCCACAGTTCTTGGTATGCAAGCAACATAACACAAGCCTTTGTGATATTGTGTAGTTGGCAACGCGTCAAACAACAGATAAACCTGTGCAGAAAACTAACTTCATTTAAAATTACTGTAAGATCTAGATCCTGCCTGTGAGTGACCATTCAGTGAATTAAGTCAAATAAAGGAAAAAGGTAAATAAACAGTAGGTCACTAGTTCGTATACTAAAGCACTCAAGGCTCACAGTTGTTAATAATAACATTATCTAAACTGTACTGTCCATACAGCTTGTACTTATTCACACTTTGCTGTGAATGGTGTGAAAGGAACAAGCATACCAGGCTAATCTTGTAGCAGCTAAGAAAAACATCCACTATGTCAAATTCAAACTTCAAACTCAAAAAAGTACCCATTTTTAATATTACTGAGCCAACCACCATTAACAACACATAATCAAACCTGATGTAATCAAAAGGCTAAAGTATCTAGGTTCAATTTTCCCTACAGGCTCTAATTTGAAAGAAACACCACTGGCTGAAACATCGATGCTTTTCCTTTGTTTCATTCTTTTGGATAAAAATTGAAGCACAAAATAATGTGAGCGCCTGGCAAAAGACAGAAAAGTCCTTTTAGATTTATAATACACCATAAACTGTTTACAAAGAAATACAAACACAAAAAAAGATAATTAATGTATTCTTTACAACAAATAAAAAGATAAACAGCTCCGTTTCATGCGTACTCTGTTGGCAGCTATCTGACTTGAAAATACAAATTAGGTTTTGCTGACAGTTTGTTGTTTCACAAAAAACCAAAAAGGGTTTTTCTACAAGTGTTACACACAAGAGACTGAACTGATACGGCAGCCCGACCTACCTGTTCAAGGCTGTCGTCTTCTGTTAGTGTCCCTGTGTCACCGTTACTGTTGATAGGAATCTCCATTGTGGCAGCTTTATTCATAATGCTGTCTGTCATAATGCACTACACCTGTGAGAGAGAGAAAGAGAGAGCGAGACAAAGTGTGTAAACTAAAAACTACCACGTGTAAATAAATTAAAAGTGGCAGAGATAGAAAAACTGTGCCGCTTTGAAGGGAAGAGACCAAAAGAGCTTAGTCTAAACAGCCCAACCATTAAGCAGATGGGATTATAATTACCACAAACAAGCGAGGAGGTGGTTTTCAAAGAGCAAGGCTACCGCTCGGGATAAAAACAACACACCTATGAAAGACTACTACACACAGATGCAGACAGTACAATGAGCCGCTTCGGTTAAGTGGCCACTCTGTTCTAAAGCACAATTGCACGACTCTGTGTGACCAGCATCCACTCCCTAAAAACCCAAAGTGAAGGGAAACAGCAAAATGTTTACATCACAACGCTCCAGTCATTTTAATGGCTCAAACTGATGCAGCCTGCCACACATTCATTTAAAACCCAAAAAGATAAACACGCAGTAATATGGACATCATATTTGACAGTAATAATAAATTCACTAATGAGGGCCACAGTTCAGTTTAATGCACAAAGCTAAATGCTAAAGCTAATGCCTGTAATAATGACATTTTTCCACAAAAACTTTTCCAGATATAACCTGATGGAGCTGTATTGGCAAACACACGTGCCCAAATCAGTCAAGCAGGGTATTCAATTGTCTTTAACCTGTTTAATAGGCTAATCTGACTGAGACCATATAAGAACAAAGCAGGTAATTGTCCAAACAATACACAGTGAGTGAGCGGGTGTCACATGTCCACCTTCAGGCATGCTATACCCAGGCACCACATGTAGCCAAAACCAAATTCAAGTAGCATCTGATACACCAAATTTCTTACTGTTTGCTACATGTGTGCAACTTTGGACAATGCCCAGACCTAATTCTCCCAGCACTTTCAGAGGTTTACCTGTGAAGTCAGCGATTGAGTTCATATTAGACAGTGAAAATGGAAATCAAACTTGTATCAGTAGGGCTTTTTTCAGACACTACATAAGCAAAAGGTTTGAGAAACACAGCCTCACTGAATTCAAATTCTTTCCATCTAGTTGCTAAGGCGTATAAAAATCAAGCTATGCAGACTGCCTTTACAAATATTAGTGAAACAATAGGCCACTCTAAAAAGTTCACTGAATTTAAGTATGGTACTGTAATAGTATAACACTGTTAAAGCCAGTTTTATTATTACTGCAAAGTGGAAGTATTTGAGAGCCACATCAATTCATCCAAAAAGTGGTATTCCATGGAAAGTTAGAGAGCATGGTTGGCGAGTGCTGAGGCGCTGAGAATGTAAACGTCACCAACACTCTCCCGACTCAACAACTGCACAGTTTCAAACCTCCACTGACATTAACATCAGCACAAAGAAACTGTATAAAAGGGGCTTAATGGCATTAGGTTTCCATGACCGAACAGCTCCTCTGGGTGTAGTATACAATAAAAAAATACATACAAAAACTGCATTTTGGAAGCCTTTTTCAAAAACACTGTTTCTTTTTTTTTTTTTTCTTTTTTCTAAATGAGAAAAAAAAAATTACAAAAACACTGTTTCTACAATGTATACTGACGAGATAATTAGAGTTCCCCCCAACAAAACAACAACAAAAAAACCAAAACAAACTTGCTCTAATGTTGATAAATTTCTGAAGACAAGAAAAAAAGGCAGGTTGATAATTATGGATGTGTGGGTGATTTTTGGTATATATTGTTAATTCTTAATGTGAAAAGATCTTAGAACTGGAGTTTCGAAGCCAATTACTCCGTTTAACACATGACCCCACTTGGTATACAAAGCTGAGTCCCTCACCTAGTTTCCAATGCCACTGTAATATATTCTTCTTATTATGACAGCATTTGAATGTGACAAACTTGAGAGCAGAAGAGTGTGCGCAAGGCTTTTGAGGCGGCTCAGTCCCTGGCTTTGGGGAACTAAAATAACTTTTAAGAGAGTCTAGCAGGTAACAAATGAATGCACTGATGAAGCAGAGCTTCACTGTCTAACCCAAGTTAATGAAAAGGTCATAAGAAATATCAGTAACTTCTCTACAAATTCTGTGATCAATTTGTGTTACTTTGGTAACTTAAACAGTCTTTGAGTCCTTGTGAACTATGCTATTAACTAGCAGACTAAAACTTCAGCTGCTGTATGTTGCAGGGTTTTGGTAGATCCTTCCTGGTATCAATGTCCTATTGTTTGAAGGCAGGTATAGTACACGTAGTCCATGTTTACATTAGCTAAAGCCTCTCCTGAGGAGCTTTTCCATTTGTGAATGCACACTTGGCCATGCCATCTCTGTTGACTTACGACATTACAATAGATGTAGAAAACGTGTTTCTCTTGTTCAACAGCACCCATGGCAATAAAGACAGCTTACTGCAGCTGTACTGTGGGTCGGATAGTTTAACAATTCTTCAGTTACTGTTCAGTAGGTTTTGTCTCTCAATCAAGTGACCTAGACAGGCTAAATAAATACCAAACGGCACATTATTTCATATATTCGTCTCATTAATTATTCGTAATTAGCAGCTTCGAAAATAGCATCAGAGGCAAACGCTATTAATAAACACTGACGTACAATAAGTCGACGGATGCAAGTAACTTTAAATCAATGGCAAATTTAAGAGTTCGTAATGGTTAAAAAAATATTAAGGCAAATACTGCAGAACAGGCTGGAGCTGTACTGAAACCCGGATGCAGTAGTAAATACGAGCCTAACAGGTGCGCCAGCACAGGTGTACAGTTTTCTCAGGTAACGCTATATTCAGGTCGCCGGTGAGGTCGGGCGAACAACGCAGTGATGGGGGGCCCATTTGACAAAAATCTGCTGAACTAAGGCAGAAATGCATTTTTGTGTGAAAAGAAGGCCCGCTTCCAGTTCACATATGCAGCTGTTGAGAAAAAGCTGGAGAAATGGTAAACAAATCTGCAAGCTCAACGTGCAAAGCCTGGTTCAGAGACGCAGAAATTAAAATAAATTAATAAATTAATAAACAATATATGACAGAACGCAGACAGAAAGGCAATGTAGCAGTTCTCAAACAGCTTGACTTACGGTCTGCTTGGTCCCGTCGTAAAAACAGAGCTGCTCGGAAAGCTAACGCGTAAGCTAATAGCAGGCTAGCGGCAGTGCATCCCAGCTCACGCGCGGCTCGGAGGAGGCTGCTGTGTCCGTGCTCAGTCCGTGGGCAACGACACAATACTCTTCTTTAAGGATGTTTCAGTGACATTGCGAGAAAAAGTCTGGTTCTTACTGCTCTTGTCTTTGAGCTTTTTCCCCCCAATATCTTCTGTTTAATGAAGCCAGAGGGGGAACGTTTTACGGATCTGACGACACCGTGGATTTCATTTCGCAGACGCACTGCGAGCCAAAGATCGTCTACAAACAGGCGGGTCACTCGTTACAAATGGCGCTTTCCCGGCTTACTGCCACAATAAAATTATTATAATACATTTAAAACATGTATATATGTTTCTAAATAATTATATAAATACCTGCTTTTTTATATGAAAACATCATATACACGAAATGAGTTGCCTTCACATATTTGTTTCATGTACTGAAAAATAAATGTTACAACTGAAAGCGCACTAATTAACAAATGACTACAAAGTATGATAATTAATTACTTTGGTTGATCATGAGTGTCCATTAGTTTAAAACTGAGTTGATAAACTGATTATTTTTTTTTGATTTTTTTTAAAGAAAGAAAAATGAAAACGCCACTGGATAAGTCCTACTCTGAATCCTACAGGAAATTCGAACTGAGTGAGACTTCTTAGTTTTTTGTGTCTTCGCCCTCAATACGGCCCATCTTTGGGAGCATCTTGACAGGGCGTTCCATATACGTGAACGTGTCAGAAAACTCTTGGTTGCTGAACATTAAACTCATGTAGGTGTTTGTTCAGTGACCTCACAGATGTTTGTTCTTTTAACTGCCCCAAGAAAAGCGTATGACCCCTGTGAATGGAAATGTGGGGCAGGTTTCTTTAGTCTAAGAAACCCTGCCCCGCTGTGGCTGCAATGCAGTAATGTACAAAAGTCTTGACTCTCCCCTCATTTCTTTGTATTTTCAATGAACCAGACTTTCTTGCATTTTATAAGTGATCTTGAGCGGTAGTTCTCCAGCTTTTCTGCAGGTCTTTCAAAGTTTTTCTATGGACATTGGCTGCTTTTTCATTTATTTTCAGTCCAGTCCTTTTACCTGAACATTTTTGCACCATCCAGGTGATTTACAAAAAGCTATTACCTGAAAATATGGCATGTCTTGGCATAATGTCCTTAAAAATTGAGAAAACTGGACAATTGGCAGACTAGAGAAGAAGTGACAGGACTAAAAACCTAAATAAAATGTACAGTAAATGAACAGTATCAGAAAGTCACACCCTTAAAAATTATGAGAGGAAAGAGGACCTGAAACAGAACCTGGGGGATGCATCTGGCCCATCAGTTGATCCATCTAAAGTTTGTTGAAGTCTCATCAATGGAAGGGTGGGTGTCAGGAAGCTATTCTTAAGGAAGAGAAAAGACATGTCTGTTAAATTGTATATGAATTGGACAGCCACTAATGTAAGACAGCAGTTTTTACAGCCATCTGACTATGGAGGCTGTGACATGGTTTAGGGCTGCATTTGATCCTGTAGTATTGGAGATCTTGTCAAAACTGAAGAATTATGAATGCAGAAAGTGTCGTCAGGTTTTGCTCTACCATGCAATACCATATTAAAGCATCTGATTGTCAACAGCTTCATTTTTCAGTATGACAATGATCCCAAACACACTGACAATCAGTCGTGTATTAGGCTCCCCAGAGCCAAGACCTCTTAATGTCGAAGCAGTGTGAAATAATGTTGACAGAGAACAGAATGAAATGCAACCAACATCCAAATAAGAGCTTTGAATGTCCTTCAAAAAACCTGGTTAACTATTCATGAAGACTACTAATAGAAACGACAAGAAAGCTTGGCTAAGAGAGTTCAGACTGTGCTGAGGAATAAAGGTGGTCATTTGACTTTCAAGTTTGTTAGAATTGTTCCGCCTCTGTTTTTCCCCTTGAAATGAAATACTCTACATGTTTCGATAAATTGCTGCATTCTCATTTTTCTAGGAAGATATAAAGACTTGAAGGGTAGCTCAAGACTTTTGCACAACACTTTACTCAATTGTAAAATGAAAAAAGGGTTTTCCACACTACAGTCAGTTTAATGGAAATATGCAAAAAAACAACATGTTCTACACACTTTAGCATACATCATTATTACTGTACACTGACATTATAGCTTATATAGCTTATTTTTAAAGAAGCCAGAGTCCAGAAAGATTTAAACCCGGGTCCTTCTTACTGTAAGACAACAGTGCTAGCCACCGCTTCAAAAATTGGGTCATTTTACACAGGATCACAGCTGGTTTGGAGATGGGTTATCTGTGGTTTCTTTCATTGGTCTTTAATTTCACAGATCTTTATAATAATAATAATAATAATGGATTGCATTTATATAGCGCTTTTCGAGACCCTCAAAGCACTTTTTACAATGCCACTATTCATTCACTCTCACATTCACACACTGGTGGAGGCAGCTACAGTTGTAGCCACAGCTGCCCTGGGGCAGGCTGACAGAGGCGAGGCTGCCATATCGTGCCATCGGCCCCTCTGGCCATCACCACTAGGCGGTAGGTGAAGTGTCTTGCCCAAGGACACAACGACCGAGACTGTCCAAGCCAGGGCTCGAACCGGCAACCTTCCAAGACGAACTGCCGACTCTTGAGCCACGATCGCCCCGTCGACCGCTCTTTAGTGAGTTTTAGGACCATCTCATTTGTGTGGTCCTCTTCTTTGTGTTGGTTTAACGTCCAAATTTCAGCCTCTGTGTTAAGTAACAACTCTGCCCTCTGTGGGTGTGCTTTAGTATGTGATTTGAATGACGAGGAAACTCTTGTGGGCCACTGCTGTTTGTGTCTTTTCCTATTTTATAGTGTAAAATGATATATAGTACTCATAATAACAATAATCATATATTTCACAATATTGATAAGCTTTTATTTTGTTTGTTTGTTTTTATAAAGTAAATCAAATCTATAATATAATAGTGAATATGTAAAGACATACTGGTGACTCAGCGGTGCATTAATAGTTGTTTCACAGAAGGTGAACAGCAGTAAAAAAGTGCTCCAGTAATTCATGTGTGCCTTTGAGCACATTAATACTCAGCCCACTCCACTCCCTTGCAGGAACCCGCTGATCATTAGCGTGTGATTGAGCCTCTCATTGAAATTTGATGACAGAAAGAAGTAAATGTGCGAGCATAACACAGACACAGCATATTCTTGATGTGACTGTACAGTATGTGTAGGTTATGAATGAAAGCCCTGTGATTAGTGATGGGCTGAGGAGTTTCAAACGGCTCCTGCAGTCATTCATATTCTGAGGAAAGAGCTGGGAAGTGAAAATAAAGGGAAAAAGTGAGTGTTTTATTCATGAACAGAAGGGAAGTTGAAAGCAGTGCAAAGCCAAAAGAAACTCTTTCAGGCTTTTTTGGAAGAGGGTGTGAAATATCATATTGGAACATTTTACTAATGCAAGTGTGCTGGGATACACGATGAGTTTTCCAGCTGTTCATATGGGATTTTCCTTGTTCTTTTTTAAAAAGTGTTGTTGTTTTCTTCTCCTCTTTTATTTGTTTGTTTGTTTGTTGATACCAGTCTCTGTCACTGCCTGCTCGACTGGACACGTGGAAGCTTGTCCTCTTCTTTTAAAGCAATGAAAGTGTTTTACAGCTTGCAGACATGTTAACAGTATAATCACATACACCATAATTAGCTACAGCTGCTGCTACTGCAAATGTGTGTGCACAGTGCTGTCCACCCAGATTATAGCCTACACCCGCCGTGGTCCCACCCGCGATTGGCCGGATACCATCAATTTTTTATAGTTATGATTGTGCAGTGAATCTTGATTTATTTCAGTGAGGCGGTTTAACACAGGGGAGATAGATAAAATGATAAATACCTGGGAGATGATATCTGAGAGGCAGTCAAGTATGAAAACATTTTTATAAATGATGATCTTTAAAGAAATGTGAAAACAAGCGTGTGCTGTTTCTGGGGGACAACTAGTGAAATGAAACGTGAATCACTATCTCGTACACTAAAATGTACAGAAAGGTATTTATGCACTCACTTTCATGTTCACAATTATAGAGAAGCCTTCTTTAAATTCTAATTTAATTTAAATTCATCCCAAAACTGGATGGTAATTTGGAATAAAAAAGTGTGCTGTTGACAAAAATTGCTTTCCCAAAAGCTTATGTTGGACGTCCTCTTCATTGCAAAGCTGTACCACCTTAACTTTAAATCAAGGGCCATAATTCAGCTGATTTTTATGCAAAAAATAACACACACATTGGCCACTTTATTATGGTACCTTGCTAATACTGGGTTGGACCCCCTTTTACCTTCAGACCTGCCTTATTTCGCTTACCTTCAGTAAGGTGGTGGAAAAATTTCCTTGTCCAATCTTGGGTGAGCCCGTACAAATTAAAGCCACAGTTTCCTGTTCCTTTATGGTCTTCTGCTGCTGTAGCTCATCTGCTTAAAAGTTTTACATGTTGTGGATTTAGAGATGCTCTTCTGCATGCTTTGGCATCATCTGCGTTATTCTTGGCTTCCTATTTGCTCAAAGCAGTCTGGACATTTTCATTTAATCTCTAATATTAACTGCCCCTCACTGGATATTTTTCCTTTACTTGATCATTCTCTGTAAACCCCAGAAATGGCTTTGTGGAAAAATCCCAGTAGATCAGCGTTTTCTGAAATAGTCAGACCAGCCAGTCTGGCACCAGCAACTGTGACACATTCAAAGTCACTTAAATCACCTTTATTCCCCATTCTGATGCTCAATTTGAACTTCAGTGGGTCATCTTGACTCTGTCTCCAAGCCTAAAAGCACTGAGTTTTCTGTTATGTGATTGGCCAATTAGTTATTTGTGTGAAAAAGCAAACAACCAAGTGTAACTAGCTGAGTAGGCACCGTCGATTAACCCCTCCTGGTTTTCCTCTCATTGGTAGTTAAATCAGTAGGAAAGCTTGTCAATTTGCAAACAACATGAGGTCAATGAACACATGTGGAAAAATGGAGATGGCGTGAGCGCTGGTAGGGTGAATACCACCATGCTTTCCTGCTACCAGAAAAGAAGAATTAGCCATGTGAAACACAGAGGAGGTAAGAACACATTTTTACTGTTGTAGAAAGTGAGAGAGAAAGTTTTGATCTCTTGGTTAGTCAGCGGCCACATGTGACTGTGAGTCTGGCTGTACCGCCACTGTTTACTGGAATCAGGAGATGTTTTTTACTTACTCATTCATTATTTTGCAGACTCACCTGTTGACTC